CAACAATTATAGGCGCTGTCTTCTATGATTATAGGAGCTCTCTTCTATGAAGATTTCCAAGCCATTTTGTGAAGGGCTAGGGGAAGAAAAACAACGCAAAATGGAGAAGATCCGCAACTCATTTGGATCTGAGATTTTCAGTAAGGAATAGGGAGTATTTGCTACTCAAAATGTCAGTCAAAAGCAAGGAGTCGTCCTAAGGATTTGTATTCCATGCCCATGATAGTGCGCTTTAACGCACGTTCTATCCCCTTGTTGATAGATTACCCATTCCTGGCTCAATCGGTGGTTTTGCTCTATTGCAACCTGTTCATACGGAACGAAGAAGTCGCTACCTATAACGCGGTACCGAGCTCAGTCTATGTGGCTGTAGTTTCCAAGCCTCACCTTCCGCCGTGTTTGGGAATAGCCGTAGTGATATGGGCCGTGTCCGATCGGTAAAGGGGCAGCGCATACTGTCCACTACGCAGCGTGTAACGAAGTGCTTGGCCGGCCTTAGCCATCAGACTTGGCCAATTCAAAAAGCAGCTTGTGCCGGATCGAGAGTGAAGTTATTCAGATTAGCGTTGAGTTTCAGTCAATTCCTCCAGCTTGTCTGCAATGAAAAGCATTTGGACATGCCATACGGGCAACTGTCCTAAGAATTCTCCTCCCGCACCTCTACCTATACCCTATACCCACATCTCCTAAAATGGCCAAACTTTAGCAAACGAGAGTGGGTAGAAGTTACTAAAAAGAAAGGCAAGCGAACAATGAAGAAGGAGGGATCTAGCTGACCTTTTTCCGCAGAAAAGAAGGATAGATTCGATTGGTTTATTGCACTTGAAAGGGCTACTTTGACTACCCGGGTGATTCTCCTTCTCCTTGTCTCTTCGATCGGTAAGGTCACAACCAGCAAAACTGCTTCTATGGCTGGTTTCAAGCTAGCTACAAGGGTCATAGTACCCTCAGTAGGGGCAAGAGTGTAAATCACTGACTCAAAGCCATTCTCCCATTGATTTATGACCGGGCACGAGCGTACTGGCAAATTGATCTCCTCTATGTGTGAAATGAGTAACTCGTTTGAGCTGGGGTGGAAACTGACTTCTACTTTACCTGAGCCAGGGCTTGCTTCTTTGAAAGAAAGACCACCTAATGGTTACTCCGCTTGACCCATTCCCATTGCTAACAGTTGTCTGCTAAGCTTCTCTATATATAAGAAAGGAAAGCGCGAACGAACAATGCCTCAAAGCTCTATGTTCTAACGCAAATCCTAGGATTGATACTCGGATCTAGTCTCCCAGCTCGACGCGGGAAGTACCGCCGTTATCCTAAGAAAGGGGTTAAGCAATCCGTTTACTGCTGGGTATACCTCATTCCCTGCCTACGGGTGCCCTTATACGATCCTTCAAGAAAGCTCTACCAAAAGGGATGGGAATGAACTTCTTACAACGTCAACATAAACATCAACATCATTGCCATCATCATCGTCGTCTTCGGATGTGGGTGAAGGCAGATGTGAATGGTTCTTTCGTACTTGCTTCTTTTCTCTTTGACTTTACAGGGGAGGGGAATGCCTTTCATTTGTCATACTTAGGAAATAAAGTAACAACCTTACCTAGTTCAATTCATTGGGCTTGCTGCAGAGGACATGCTTTGCTCTATTGATGGGGTTGTGCGCTTACGAGGTAATGAGCTTTGATGCCTTCTGGCGAGAGTCTTTGGCGTGGGCTCATTCCCCTAGTTAATCCTATCTGACTAATTGGGGAGTATGACTTCTCTTTGGACTAGGACCTTTGCCGCTGGTAGATCGAATAGAAGCAGGGCCGGGAACAGGGAGTCCCCAGAAGCCTTGGTTGGGTTCCTTCTACCACTCATCGTTCCGCTTCGTTCAAGGAGTCAGGTCAGCGTTCAGGTTCGTTCCTCCGCTTTCTAAGCAACGAGTCAGATCGCTATCTGTGAGTCGTAACTATCCTTTTCCCCGGGCTTTGCTTCTTGTTTTCTATGACCATTGGATGTAGCGTGAAGCCTCTTTTGAAGCGTTGCTGCCTCTGAGCATCCCTACCATCACTCCGATTGGCCATATTAAAGACAGGAAGCGCTATTGGACTTGGACCCTTGCCAGTGAATAGTGGGAGCCTTACTCGATTCCAAAGGGGATTGATCGCCGGGAAGGCAAATGCGACTCTGACAGAAGACTTTACTAAAGTTCCATAACCTTGAATGAAAAAAGAGTTCGATATATCATTAAGGGAAGAGCTATTCCAACAGCGCGACCCTTCAATATGGTGCTCAACTCATTCATAAATCATTCTTGCCATGAAGATTGGAAAAGAGACAGGCTATTAGAACAGGCAGTCTGAATAAGAAATGCATTCAATGTTTAGTCTTTTCTTTATAAACCTGCGTCTCGCATTTATACCTGGCACAGGGGTTTCTCCCCCTTCCCTTGTGGATGGGTTTCTAGCCTCTTTTGTTTGCGGATATGTAGTGAATAAGGGGGCACTCCTACTCAAAGGCTCAAGCTCGTATTTCCATGAACTTTCTCTGGTAATGCTATGAACTAGCTGCCTTGTGGCTTTTCTGTGCTGTTCGGATATTCTAAGCTCGGTAATCGCCGAACCCTCAAGAAAACATCTCTTCTATGGCCCTTTTGCTTAGGGAAAAGCCAAGTTCTCTCCCCTTGTTGATAGGGATTCCCTATCTTTGCTTCAGTCTACGTTTCTCGCTCCTTTCATAGTCCATAGAATCGATATCAAGCAGATGATGCGACATGTTGAATAGCGAATGCAGCGGAATACGAAGGAGTAGGTCTCGCAGGAGCACTCTCTGCGGAACCCTAAGGTTAGGGCCGGGTTCCACTCTTGACCCCTTCATCAAACATCACCGAGTCCCAAGTCACATCCTTCGCTACGTAATCCATGGTTGGAAGGCTCGCTAGGAAACTTCTAAGTGCTCTCTCTTTCGTGTGCTTCAATCGCCAAATCTTCCACATTGTAGAAGCATTTGAATCAAGATCTTGCTTTTCATCCTTTGAATCATACCCCTCTCTTTATTCTTCGTGATCTTTCCTTGATTGCTCTAGTGGCGACCCCCACAGGGTGCACTGTCTGGTTAAATGGTCCATTATACGTGATGTGGCGAAATTCTTTCTTTGCACATTGGATCAAGAATGGCGCTCACAGAAGATGGAAGATTTGCTGTTAGAAGCGGTTCCATTATAAGTTTCCAGCCCTGACCCCATTTTGAATTAGAGAATTTGAACATTCGCTTATGTAAGCGAATTCAAGAATGAGAAGCAAGAAAAGGAAGGGTGAGAGATTGTATTTGACTAACCTTCAGCCATGCCGAAAGGGTGGAACTCTTATGCCAATAGAAGTGATTGATCGAGTTCAGTTGTGCTTACGATGTCGCTTCTGTATCTTGGAATTGGGGCTTCATTCAGCCTTGGTCCATTTCGGGGGTTGAACTTCCCATTCCCATTGTCGGGATTGAGACCCGCCTCTTATACATTCTCTATATTTAGAGCCGCAGAGTGACCATCGGAGTCATCTGTTCGTCCCTCCGAGGATTGCAACCTGTGCTATCTGTTATACTCAATATGATTACCTTTGATTTTTGCACCGATGATCCTTTCAAAAAGTGAGAATCGGTTGGTGTTCCTTTGCCCCCCTTGCATTTTCTTCCAAAGAAAGAGCATTTTCTTCCAAATCAAATCTAGAAAACAAGAGTTTGATTGCTTAGGCGCTCCTCCCTTGTCACATTCATCTCGCTTTGGGTTGTTCTCTAAGCAGCTTTTATTGATTCAGAGCATCAACATCTAGGCGGGCAATAAAGATATGAAAAGTGCACAATGCCTCGATATCGGCCGCTTCTTATCTTGAACCGGCGGTAGGTACGGGGCCCGATCACAACGTCAAGTTCAATTTACCTCCAACAGTTGCCCTTTATCTCATCCAGACCGTTAGCATAGTCTAGTAGTGGCGGGCACCTAGGACCTATCTCATTTTCAACCGATTGTCCAATTTCCTTTCCGAAACTGATTCTTACACTCGGCCTAGCGCTGTTAGTAAGAAGGGGGTGCATTTCGAGGCGAGACCAATCTAGTGAATCAGGTAGTGCACACATACGCCCATTGTCTGCTTATAGAATCTTTAGTTTAAAGCACCCATAAATCCCAATCTCATCTGATGTTCCGGGTTGGGAATAGCCGTAGGGATCTGGGCCGTGTCCTTTCGGTAAAGGTCACAACCATCAAACTAGGATTTCATGACCCTTGGCTAACCCTTTAAGGTTAGCGCCCTCTCTATGTCGCTGGTGAGGAGACACAGAACCTTTTCACGCTCCCTCTACCGGCCAGTATAGCCCGTGTTGTGGTGCTATTTACGGACGAAAGACTGATCGTACGCATCTAGAGTGACTCAAGAGCTTGCAACCTTGATGAGGCATCCGATCACAGAATAAAGGCATGCACAGACAACGAGTCAGTCTGGTTGCTTGATCTTTCCGTCCTCTTTGCTTAGTGGCTAGCCCCGATCTACGAGAGATTAGGCGACATCCTTAGACTCCCACAGGACCTACAGGCTTGGCTGGAAACTACAGACACAAGGGTAGTTCACTCGGCTGGAATTCAAGCTCAAACTACTACACTCGCTCTGGGAACTTCTCCACGCCGTCCAACAAGGTTCCTTGGTTCCAGTTTCGAATGGGAAAAGAGAAGAGGAAGAAGGTAACTATTCATAGAGTCAAGTAAGAAAGGAAAAGAAAGGTCTTTAGTTACAGTAGTCTGCCAGTAGTACCAGTAGTCAGAAATCCGAAAGCCACCTTTTAGTAACTTGGGAAGGGTATTGTCAACTATTAGCCAAGTAAGAGAGGAAAGAACAGATCTTTCTTACCGGGCTGGCTAACCAGACAACTAGTCAATAGAAGGTCTATACGAGACTTTGCTAGCTTTACGAAACATTTTGATATTTAACACGGAGCAATCCTACTATAAGGTAGAGATAAATAGAAATAGATATCTTTTTCTAGTCTCATGTTTGGTTTTCAAAAATCTCGTATATATAGTGCTCCGCTAGTCTGGCTTTCACATTAGCATTCCTGAGCGGCTTAAGAAAAAGGGCGGAAAAAGCAAGGGAAGGACTGTTTTCACATGCCACAGTTAGGACTTTGAAGTACGATACTGACTGTTCACTTTCTCCAAATTGACTCCGTATAGTCTCAGAGTGGTTCATCGTCAAAAGAACAAGAATGGCTTGTAGCATTTCCTATTTCTTTGTCTGGGGATGATGTAAAGGAGGGCTTTCTCGTCTAAAGGCAGGGGTGAGCTTTCTCACTATACAATGACCACTACGAACGAAGGACCAACGACGATTCCGGAGGAGAAGAAGGAGGAGTAGAAGCTAGCTTTCATTGAAGTAGGGGCGGAATCGAAGCGAAGAAATTCTTAGTTCATGCCACGCATACTTCGTTTTGTTGATGCATGTATGTTGAGAATGAAGAAGAAGAGAGATCTTCTTTTGAACAGGAAAATTTGGTCACGTAGATCTTCTATTTCGCCGGAATTCGTTGATTGCTCCGTACGCATTTACAATGGAAAAACTCCTGTTCGTTGTAAGATCACTGAAGGAAAGGTTGGTCATAAATTTGGAGAGTTTGCTTCTACACGGAAACGAAGATCTTCGAGAAAAACGATTGGACCGGGAAGAAAAAAGGGGGGAAAGCCCAGTCTAAGCGCAAAAGTCTAAGCGCATATGGCACGAATAGGGGATCCTATTCACTCACTTTTTTCTGCTAATGTGCAGCGGCGAGGATCCAACGGGTTGTTGGACCAACCTATGGTGTGTTCCTAAGAAGCGCCGGGTTGTTGGTAAGTAGCGTGAGCGGGCGGGGAGCTCACACAAGTCAGTGAAAGACCCCCGTAGGACCTTTCTTCAGTGTGGCCCACACACGGCCAGGAGGGATAAGGGGAGCGCCTTCATCATTGAATTCTAAACCGGCGTGGCGCTGCTGGATGCTTCTGATCAATAGAACAGGAAGAGGAGTCCGCCAAAAGGAAAGACCACCAAAAGTCACGACCACCAAGATACGCATAGTGATTCGATCTTTTGATCACCCATTTTTTGAAAACCATTTTTGGGGGCTTCCGCCTTACACACAGAAAATTGGATTGCCTGAATCAAGAGTCTTATATACTGTGTTACGATCACCTCATATTGATAAAAAGTCCAGAGAACAATTTGAAATGGAAATCAAGAAAGAATTTCTGATCATAAAAACAGAAACGCATGAATTGCGCAAGAAGTTCTTTCGGTTAAAACGCCGTGCGACTCGGAGGACATAAGACTTCTTGGTCAAGCCAAAAAGATGGCCGACTTACTGCTCCTACCCCACCATGCCCGGCCCTTTACCTTACCTTCAGAAGAAAGAGGGGGGTATGCAGCGTGGGAAAGAATGCAAGAAGTGTATGATACTGACTGAATTCCTTAAGGAGTGGTGGCAAAACTCTTGATTGATCAACGCGAGTGAACTGTGCTTAGACGCTTCGTAAAACCGCACCGATCTACGAGAGGAGCTGGTGGATGAGTAGGCCCCTTTCGATTCGCGGAATGTGATCTGGGACACGATGGGAGTTTGCGTGCCTCGGTAGGAAAGAGATCACCGGAGTATAGCACAAGATCGCCTTTTCTTGCTGCCATGGGGTCGACCTGTGAACAAGGTAAACCCAATGGGAACCAAAAAACGGGGGTACCGCATTGGGCAGAAGACGATCCAAAAAGCGAAGGCTCACCCCAACGAGTTCAGTCGTTAAACGTAACGAGGTGCCGAGGCTGAAGGAAGGAGCTTTGGAAGCTTTACTGATTCTTATATTAGTCAGATAGGTTGCCCCTTTCTCTAATAATCTTCAGGGGGGTGAGATAGGCAAGAGGTAGAGCTTGCTTCCAAGCCGGCCCGGCCGCGAGGAAGAAAGAGATCTTTTCCGGTGCTGACTTGGATCTCGGGTGACGGAGTAAGGCGGCCAGAAGCGACGAGCAGTCGCGGTCGAAGCTTGGCTCTAGCCGATAGGCGGCTAGCGCTTGGCTACAGCGAAGCGCTTACCAAGCTAGAAGGAAAAGGCCTTCGCCACTTGAGCCGTATGCGGGGGAACTCGCACGTGCGGTTCTTAGGGGGGGAGAGCTAGTAGGAGCCATCCCATCCCAATAGCGTATATTTGGAGCTCAATATGAAATCCTATTTTCTTGCAAGACCCGTTCGGATAAGGGAAAACTCCAGAGATTGCTTCGAAGTCAGATTCTTGCGCCTTTCCTGAACCATAACCGGGGGAGGGTGATCGGAAAAGGGGATCCAAATGTCCCATCAATAAAGTGAGGGATTTCCGGACCTTCCCCATCCCCCCCTCACTACCTTCAATAAAGAAGCCCCGCTCCCTAATAAGGGGCCCCTCTCTGATAAGGAAGAAAACGAAAGAATCTCAATTTTACGACAAATCCGGTCCGATGGCTGTTCTCCACTAACCACAAGGATATAGGGACTCTATATTTCATCTTCGGTGCCATTGCTGGAGTGATGGGCACATGCTTCTCAGTACTGATTCGTATGGAATTAGCACGACCCGGCGATCAAATTCTTGGTGGGAATCATCAACTTTATAATGTTTTAATAACGGCTCACGCTTTTTTAATGATCTTTTTTATGGTTATGCCGGCGATGATAGGTGGATCTGGTAATTGGTCTGTTCCGATTTTGATAGGTGCGCCTGACATGGCATTTCCACGATTAAATAATATTTCATTCTGGTTGTTGCCACCAAGTCTCTTGCTCCTATTAAGCTCAGCCTTAGTAGAAGTGGGTAGCGGCACTGGGTGGACGGTCTATCCGCCCTTAAGTGGCATTACCAGCCATTCTGGAGGAGCAGTTGATTCAGCAATTTCTAGTCCTCATCTATCTGGTGTTTCATCCATTTTAGGTTCTATCAATTTTATAACCACTATCTCCAACATGCGTGGACCTGGAATGACTATGCATAGATCACCCCTATTTGTGTGGTCCGTTCTAGTGACAGCATTCCCACTCTTATTATCACTTCCGGTACTGGCAGGGGCAATTACCATGTTATTAACCGATCGAAACTTTAATACAACCTTTTCTGATCCCGCTGGAGGGGGAGACCCCATATTATACCAGCATCTCTTTCGGTTCTTCGGTCATCCAGAGGTGTATATTCCCATTCTGCCTGGATCCGGTATCATAAGTCATATTGTTTCGACTTTTTCGGGAAAACCGGTCTTCGGGTATCTAGGCATGGTTTATGCCATGATCAGTATAGGTGTTCTTGGATTTCTTGTTTGGGCTCATCATATGTTTACTGTGGGCTTAGACGTTGATACCCGTGCCTACTTCACCGCAGCTACCATGATCATAGCTGTCCCCACTGGAATCAAAATCTTTAGTTGGATCGCTACCATGTGGGGGGGTTCGATACAATACAAAACACCCATGTTATTTGCTGTAGGGTTCATCTTTTTGTTCACCATAGGAGGACTCACTGGAATAGTCCCGGCAAATTCTGGGCTAGACATTGCTCTACATGATACTTATTATGTGGTTGCACATTTCCATTATGTACTTTCTATGGGAGCCGTTTTTGCTTTATTTGCAGGATTTCACTATTGGGTAGGTAAAATCTTTGGTCGTACATACCCTGAAACTTTAGGTCAAATCCATTTTTGGATCACCTTTTTCGGGGTTAATCCGACCTTCTTTCCAATGCATTTCTTAGGGCTTTCGGGGATGCCGCGTCGCATTCCAGATTATCCAGATGCTTACGCTGGATGGAATGCCCTTAGCAGTTTTGGCTCTTATATATCCGTTGTTGGGATTTGTCGTTTCTTCGTGGTCGTAACAATCACTTCAAGCAGTGGAAAGAACAAAAAATGTGCTCCAAGTCCTTGGGCTGTTGAACAGAATCCAACCACACCGGAATGGATGGTACAAAGTCCTCCAGCTTTTCATACTTTTGGAGAACTTCCAGCTATCAAGGAGACTCAAAGCTGTGTGAAGTAACCAAAGAAAAGGTCGCCGATTGCTACTAAGAACCTAACAGAACTTTTCCAAATGTGGGTTCTAACACCACTTGTTTAGGTTGGGGTTTTTCTTTTTTTCGGTATGCCGCTCTGCGAGCAAAGCAAATTTACATAAATCCAACCTAATATCATGAATATCCTTCGCCCGTTATCTCCCCATCTTCCTATTTATAAGCCACAGCTCACTTCGACGTTTCCAATTTCCCATAGAATCTCCGGAGCTTTCCTAGCCACTATCGTTTTCTTTTTTTATCTTCTTTGTCTGAAAATTGGTTTGATTTGCTTCACTTATGAGAATTTCTACCAATTCTTGTTTTATTCATCAAAGCTCATCCTAATCTCCGTCGAGATTACTGCCTTAGCCCTGTCCTATCATCTGTATAATGGAGTTCGTCATTTATGGACGGATTTTTCGGGATTTTCCTTTCTTAGAATTTACAGAAAAAGATGGAAATGACTGTTCCAAATTTCACCTATACCTTTGAGATTGAAAAAAGAAAAGGGAGTGGATAGCTCTTTTTTGGTAGCAGCAGTGGTTCGAAGAAAAGAGGGCTATCAGGAAAGCTATATGGGCTTTGAAGCTATTGCATCGTTTGCCCCTTTCTCTAATGAATATGCATTTTCTATGAAAGACTCTCTATTTACGCTTGCTCGCAATCAATTCCATCTTGAAATGACTGAAACATCTCTTTCTGAAATAAGTGGATTCACTCCTTACCTACTCACTTCTGATCTCATCTGTATTCCGATCGAAGAAAGAATCTCGTTTTTTTCATGTTGACTACTATCTTTTTGAAGTAGATAGCCAAAAGTGCTCATTCTATAAGATACTGGAAAAGCCGACTCATGTTTCCACGTCATTTTCATTACGAAGATGTATCACGTCAGGATCCGTTGCTCAAACCGAATCACGCCAACGTTATGGAAGTTCCTGGATCGTGTCAAATCAGAGTCGTACCAAAGGCAGCACCTTCTTCTTTCATAATCCAAAATGGAAAATTGGCTATGGAGATTCCGCGCGGTCAGAAAGTCATACAGACACAACGGGCTTCGGCGGGAAAGTCGTTTCGATCCAATCCATTCTGGGGGTCAAATAAAGACAAAAAGGGATATGTCAGTGACCTAGCACGACAAAGCACTCTTCGAGGGCATGGAATGTCTCATTTTTTGGTCAGAATATCCACAGTAATGTCTCTGTTAGATTCTCCGGTCGAAATACGGGAAAAGTCCATTCAATTCTCGATGGAAACGGAGTTTTGCGAATTCTCCCCGGAACTTGCAGATCATTTCGAGATCTTCGAACATATTCGAGGGTTCAATGTGACTATTGTCACTTCGGCCAACACACAAGATGAGACTTTACCACCGTGGAGCGGCTTTTTTCACAAAGATGAGGTGGAAACTCAGTAAGATGTCGAAGAATCGAAATATACGAGATCACAAACGTAGATTGCTCGCGGCTAAATATGAATTGAGACGAAAGCTTTATAAAGCCTTTTGTAAAGATCCCAATCTTCCTAGTGATATGCGGGACAAACATCGTTATAAGTTGTCCAAGTTGCCAAGAAATAGTTCCTTTGCACGAGTCAGAAACCGATGTATTTCCACGGGTCGCCCTCGTTCCGTATATGAGTTCTTTCGAATTTCTCGTATCGTTTTTCGTGGATTAGCATCTCGAGGTGCTTTGATGGGCATAAAGAAATCGTCTTGGTAGCAACCACCAATCCAATAGAAACAAGGGTTCGCTCTGCTGCTGGCCTACAAGCAAGGTAAGTAGGTCCATTACCGGCCGGCTCCGGCCCGAAAAGACCTAACGGAGTCATCCCTTATCTCGGATCGGAGATGCTAACGGGGCAGGAATCGAAGTGTGGGGGACCTCTCTACCGCCTCTGTCTATCTTTCCTTCCTGTCAAGTATGCTCCCCAGACATAGACTACGTACAGGGAAGTACTCTTGGAAAGATAGAATCTCACCCGTGAACATCACATTCAGTTACGAATGTCACTCCCGAGGGATCGACCACTATTCTCAATATAGTAAGGCGGGGAACTCTTGTTCATTGGAGCGCCGGAGTGCGGAGGTTGTTCCCATCATTGAAGTCAGGGGTGGGACTGAGCCTTCCGAATGAGAAAGACAAAAAAGTGCTTCGTTTCGTTGGAAAAACCAACGCAAATATCATATTGACTTTCTCTCGCCCTGCTTTCTAAGGATAGATAGTTTAGGTGGGAGAGAGTGAATGAAATTCTCTCCTTTCCAAAGCTGCGCAAGGCGGCCCCCCCAGAACAAAGCCCCGCCCCTCTTTTCCCCTTTGAATGAAAGACCCCCGCCTCGCTTCCTATTCATTTCTGGGTCTGGACCCGAGGGCCTTTTTTTCTCAAGAGGTGAATTTCGAAACAAAACTCGAGCGAAGGGAATGAAAGCTTTGATGCTGCTAGTTGAGGCATTCCGCCGGGAAGGAGGTTGAAGTTTTTCTCCCACATATAGCTGTCAAAGCTAAGAAAGAAGATCCGTTTTCTTACGAGAATTCGAAACAAACAGTGTCCCTCTGCTTTAGCCTGGGAGTGACGTCGCCAGGAAGATATGAACACCTAGTTGTGCTAAAGAATCGGATTACAGACCTATTCTATATAATGACTAGGTAGTTCATCATTCCCAAAATATGAATGAAATGAGAAAAACGGGTGACGCATTTGACCTGTCTTGAAGGAGATTTCCACGCACATTGTGATCAGATGAACTTGCTCGATTGCGATAGAGCACTCGGGGGACGCTGAGCACAAACACACAATCTCCACGAAAACAGCTGAGTTTTGATCATCATTTGATTTTCATCAACATTTCACAGAAGTCAACGATCTATTAAACAAGAATGGTCTACCTACTGCTGAGTCTACTCGACAAGAAAGCATCGGCAAAATAGGGGGGAAGCTAAGATACGAATTCACGCACCTTTGCGCCCTCTTTCACCGAAGAGGAAAGAAGAATCTTCCAAGCGGACAGAGACCTCCATTTCCATTAGATGATTCATTCCTAAGCTTGCTTTGTTGCAGCAAGATGATCAGTCCGGGAGTGCTGGAGAGAATATAAAGCGGTCAAAACCTCTCTTCTTCGGTCACCGAGCAGTAGCAGTCGGACGACTCTTCACCCTTCGACGCTTCTTTTGCTGTATAACCCCCTCCATCCTTCGGAGGTGAAAGAAAGGTCTAAATAGTTGATATAGTAGGGCCCCAGAACGCTCAAAAGGTGGGGGAACAAGAGTTGTCATGATAGAGAAAAAAGAAATGACTATAAGGAACCAACGATTCTCTCTTCTTAAACAACCTATATCCTCCACACTGAATCAGCATTTGATAGATTATCCAACCCCGAGCAATCTTAGTTATTGGTGGGGGTTCGGTTCGTTAGCTGGTATTTGTTTAGTCATTCAGATAGTGACTGGAATTTTTTTAGCTATGCATTACACACCTCATGTGGATCTAGCTTTCAACAGCGTAGAACACATTATGAGAGATGTTGAAGGGGGTTGGCTGCTCCGTTATATGCATGCTAATGGGGCAAGTATGTTTCTCATTGTGGTTCACCTTCATCTTTTTCGTGGTCTATATCATGCGAGTTATAGCAGTCCTAGGGAATTTGTTCGGTGTATCGGAGTTGTAATCTTTCTATTAATGATTGTGACAGCTTTTATAGGATACGTACCACCTTGGGGTCAGATGAGCTTTTGGGGAGCTACAGTAATTACAAGCTTAGCTAGCGCCATACCTCACGTAGGAGATACCATAGTGACTTGGCTTTGGGGCGGTTTCTCCGTGGACAATGCCACCTTAAATCGTTTTTTTAGTCTTCATCATTTACTCCCCTTTATTTTAGCGGGCGCCAGTATTCTTCATCTGGCCGCATTGCATCAATATGGATCAAATAATCCATTGGGTGTGCATGCAGAGATGGATAAAATCTCTTTTTACCCTTATTTTTATGTAAAAGATCTAGTAGGTTGGGTAGCTTCTTCTATCTTTTTTTCCATTTGGATTTTTTATGCTCCTAATGTTTTGGGGCATCCCGACAATTATATACCTGCTAATCCGATGCCCACCCCGCCTCATATTGTGCCGGAATGGTATTTCCTACCGATCCATGCCATTCTTCGTAGTATACCTGACAAATCGGGAGGTGTAGCCGCAATAGCACCAGTTTTTATATGTCTGTTGGCTTTACCTTTTTTGAAAAGTATATATGTACGTAGTTCAAGTTTTCGCCCGATTCACCAAGGAATATTTTGGTTGCTTTTGGCGGATCGCTTACTACTAGGTTGGATCGGATGTCAACCTGTGGAAGCACCATTTGTGACTATTGGACAAATATCTCCTGTTGTTTTCTTCTTGTTCTTTGCCATAATGCCCATTCCGGGACGAGTTGGAAGAGGAATTCCTAATTCTTACACCGATGAGACGGATCACACCTGATCAGTGAAAAATTATTACACCAAGAATTTACGAGTGAGTATTACACCAAGAATTTACAAGCTTATGAGTCCCTCTTTTCACATTCCAAGCTCTCATTTCTAAACTTACGCCCAGGAAGCTTGATCCAAAGCAGTGCTGATTCACTTCTGTACTTTCTCGTCAAGAGCGGAGCGAGATGCCCAGCTTTGCTTGTTTTGTTACGCTGGGTGGAACTCGTGCCTTCAGAATTGAAAAATGGAATAGATAGAGTAATATGCCACTGGCTTGGAACATAGGGACAGGACATTCAGTAGATAGAAAGTCATTATTGTACTATAAGAGTGTGGCAAGGTAGCATAGCCTCGTTCGTGGCCTGGGCCTAAGGGATATGCATGTAGTTGTCTAGCCAGATCCGCGCTTGGTGATGCGATTTACAGAGAGTTTACACCTGTTCTAGTTACAAGCAAGAGTGGAAATCAAATCACTGTCTCAAAGACAAGTCCACCTTCACTCGATACGATACTTGAACCTAAAATGCATAAGCGCTCGTGAAAACTATGAATAAGAAAGAGCAATCTTTCATATTTCCTAATAGGTCAAAATACCATTAGAAGAAAAGAAGACAGTTAAGTGGCTAGTATCACCCTTAAGGGCTTTAGCCGATGTCTCTTTTTGAAAAACTTTAGTCGAATATAGATGTGAAACCTAAGAAATTGAGGAAGAAGCTTGCTTTGTTTGCTTTATTGTTGCCTATAACTAAGTCCGAAGGCTGCAGATTGGACTGCTTCTCAGAGCAGAAAGTGAATCAGGCAAGCCCTATTGCTAATTTCATTTGAGTCGTATTGCTTTGAACCCTCACTCGGGTCTTCTAATTCCTTAGAATATGCAAGTTAGTGGAAATCCAGAGCGTTGAGCAAGAGCAAGAATGGGTTGTAGCATTTACTAAAGGATGAAAGTGGTCAGGTCACTTATAGAGCCGGAAGAGATAGGCGGCAGGGCAACTCAACGTTCAATGGATCTTGGCGCTTTGCTTTCTTTTTGTACGCGATACGCGTGACTTTCTCGAACAACTGCAAAAGCATTTCATTTGAGGAGTGATCGAATATTCTCAACCTTGTTCTCCTGGCCTGGGAAAGATTCTTATTCAAGCTGACTCACTTAGCGGAACACTTTTCATATATAGCTGTACCTAAAGAATTCCTCACCGGCTCATGCAAGACCACTTCCTCATTTCTTTTTCGCTGTTTGATGGATTCAATGAGATTCGGCCTAACCTGGTTGTGTAAAAGATGCTCAATACCGTGCAAGTTGTAAAGCAGATTCCTGTCCAAAAGATAGAATTGATCAACGTCTCCGCCCTTTCAATCAACCAATAGCTGTTTTCTTCTTTTCTTCTTCGAATTGGGAAGATGCAAATGCTCAAAATGATTCATTCCCAGAAAGCGTCCGTTAATGGATAAAGTTTCTTGAAGTTTTTGTAGCACGAACTTCTCTTTCTTACGCTAATCTCGCCCCTTTTCTTCTCTCTAGGTCTTCTGGGAATGCTCAAGCGCGTATGGCTTCTCTTCTAGGATCGCTTTTCCTAAGGTCAGTTCGAGGCTACGAAAACTACAGTGCAGTGCGTGCGCTCCTGTGCGCTAGGGCTTTCAAGCCTTACTACACTCCCGCCTTCGAATCCAATCTGAGGGATCGACCCTCTCTCTACTGGCATTTAGGGCTTGCCGCCTCTCTTCCTATTGACCGTGCTCGCTGTTGACTCCTGCCCTGTCCGACGTGCTTGCTCTCAACGCCCACATATGGCACAACTTTGCTTTGTTAGATCGCTGCTTTACTATGAAGAAGGTGGTCCGGGGTCCGTTAGGGAGAGAGACAAACTAAGACGGGGATTAGAGGTAATGGAGATGAAAGATAGGCGTACCAAGAACATATTCCTACGAGAAACGAGTTTCAGATAGATAACAGAAATGGAGGATATGAAACAGAAAGAACCTCCAGAGCCAGCCAGCACGGCTCGGCTAGCGATCAGTAACAGCAGCACCAGCGGCACCTCCGTCTTGTCCTGTACCCATGCCTGCGCTCGAACCGTATCCTTAGTAATAGAGTCTCTTCCGGAACACAACAACAAAGGGTTCCAGAACGGAATGGAGAAAGAACCAAATGGCAGGATCTTCTTAACCAAGGTAGGCCAGATAGGACGGTAAGTGAGAAGAGAAGACGATCAGTTTCATTCATTTAGTACTTGAAGTCGTCGAATCGAGAGAGAGCAAGATTCGCCCAGTAAGTAGAAAAAGGTCAGTCGAGTTGCTCATTCCATTTTACGTATTAAGGATTTAGATACTAGCTCTTTGCGTAAGTTTGTCCATCTTTTTTGATTCTTCCAATAGCTTGCTTACGATTGCTTTTCCCTGCTGAATGATGCGCCTCTCATTGGGTTTGGGTTTAGTCACGCACCTCTCTCTTGCTGTTAATTCCTCCGTTGCAGTTTGTTCTTTCTTTCTGGAAAAGAGATTTTCTTGGTCAAAAGTGTTCCGGGTACTGTATCGTTGGGCTGGACGACCAATATCCTTTCTAGTTCCGTCAGCGCTTGCTGCGCGTACAGTGCTTTTGCGCTCAACTCGCTGCCTACTCCAACCTCGGTTACCAAGCCGCCCAACGAGAGACCTAAGTACTCATCAGGGCTCTACTGGGCGAAGGTTTATCGAAAAGATTGACAAGAAATCCATGGTTATTTGTTTAAGTTGAAGAGGCTTTCCATGTGATAGAAGTGGCCTTGCCCCTGCACGAAAGAACCCATCTCAGATTGGAATATTGGGAATACCTCACCGTTGGAGACCGAAAATAAGATTGCACCGTCCATTGAGTGGGAAATGCTGAGTAGGCCGGCCTATATCTGACTCCCGTAGCCTTCACTAGATATTGACTCATCTAGGGGAACTAGCTGACTAATAGATCAAATCAGTCTCCTTACCTCGAAAAAGAATGAAACTTCCAAGCCGCTAGATCCATATGGTTGGACGGGAGCTTCACCTTTCACTTAAGGAAGTGGTGGTACAAAAGAAGACAATCCTTGCCCTTTCTCTTTCTTCTTTTTGGGGTGCTCCATTTTGTATCGAGGAATGTCGTATAGTGAGTGGTATTTCAATTCTTCTATTTTGAAGCCTCAGAGTATTCGGGAAAATGATGTTCGACTCACCGGTGTTAAGTGTTTCTTCCGAGCCAGTGAGCTTATCCTCCAAAGTCAATCTCTCGTGGCTTGAGGTTTAGTTACTAAATAAGGGCTTCTATAGTCCCCAGCGATGTGCTCTCGATCTAAAGCTCCACCTCTAACCATTATTTGATGATTGAACCCAGAAGTGTGAGTCTCATTCCGCAGCTCCCTAAAGTCAATGTGTCAGAGTTTTGGCCATGGGGTTCCCTCCTTGGCAAAAGTCAAATAGATTCTTATCAACTTGATACGAACTGTACGCTGTTATTCTCTTTTTCCCCTATTTTTCCCCTTGTTCATCAACCGGAAACTGGGATCAAGCGGAGACAGAAAGAAATAACTCACGCTTGCTTGGTTACCACACTACCTTTTAAAAGCTTAATTCTTTCTTAACTTCATTAGATCACAAGACTGCTTGTGGGTGGCTCTGTCCAAGCTAAGCTAATTAATGGCTAT